AATATCTTTCCTCGTGCTTTCTGCAAAATGATGATGACCATATGCTAGCAGTACCAGAGTCAATTCACATTCATCCATCCCTTTTTCTATCAGAAGCATTTCAGATTCTGACAATTCAAATGCCTCTCTGGAAACATGCATTAAGTCTTTGAAGCTTTCATATCCTTTATTTATACAAAACATTCTGTGATCGTTCCTCGTATGTTTTTATATATGTGGGTGTGACTGTGTGAGTTCATGCAAGAACATTTGTCCTCACTCACCAAGTCACCATGTGATCTGCTGTTTATTTCTGATTTTCATGATTTAGAATGTACATTCAACAATGAAGTTGTGACAAAATTGTGCATTAATTTCAAGTACTCATCAATGACCTGTAATTGCATTCCTCAAGTTTGTGGTTTTATTGATGTCCATTCTTTCTGTTAAATCAAAGAAACAACCTTATCCCTAAGTTTTTATGCATATTATGTGTAATATTTGAAACTTGTGCTGAAGAGGCCAAAAGACTAGGTAGAGTTGATGAATTTGTAAGGTGGTTTGGCCAAAGTAGGTTGTGTCTTTGAGGTGAAAATTCATAAAAAATGTGAGAGGTCTGAAAAGTTTAAGCAACGTAGGTAATAAGCACCTTGACGAGGCATAGGGAGCGGGATTGGAGTTTAGGGAACAGAAGATGAAAGGTAGAGCAAACTTATGATTTAATTGCTTTCTTTTCTGTGGCAAATATTAAACAGATATTGTATTAACAGCTCAATAAACTTTTTCAATACTTTATAGATAAGTTATTCATTTATTTTTGTAAAATTTTAACAAATAAACAATGGTATTAGAAAATAAAAACATCTGCAAACATAATGAAATCAATAATTGATCACTCTGCACCACATAGTTCAGTCTGTTCCCAGTCAGGAAGTAATCAGTTAGAACTTGGACTGAATGTACTTGATGACATTAGCATCAAGCTGAAAGGCCTTGGAAAGGACATCAACCGAGATAGGTGCTTCAGAGCCAAAAACAGCGTTACCAACAGTGACCACACCTGGATTCTGGCTACTCAAGGCAGAAATGGCAAAAGCAGGAGTTTTGCCAACATTGAGCTGAAAGTGAACGAGTCCTTGTGGGAAAACAAAGACGTCTCCCTTTTTGAGAACCTTGGTAAAGAGCTTGTTTGCACTATTATCTGCTGGGTTAGAGGTCACAAAACCAACATAAATGGTACCCTCCATCACTGTGAAAACCTCAGTGGCACGGGGGTGTGTGTGGGAGCAAGAAGGCCATATGGGGCAAAGTCGAGCCTAGCGAGTGATATGCCAAGGGTGTTGAGTCCTGGTAGTTGTGCTGCTGCCACTGGAGTCACTGCTGAGCCTAGCTTATTGTTGGTGTTACCAGGTTTGTCTAGCCCATTGGTGAAGAAATCTTCTGCTGTAACTGCCATTTGATTCTTGCAGAATAGCCCATTTACAAACACTGCAGATAACAAGAGATCATAATTTAGTATTAGTGCTTAGTAAAAAATAATTAACTACTTGCCTACATCATATATTGGAGTATCATGCAGTTATAACAAGAAATAATTCTTACATGCATTTTTCGGGTCATTTGTGGCGACACAAAAATCTTGGAGCTGTGTAGGATCGGTGGCATAGGCTACACTAGATGTTAGAGCTAATAGAGTCAAGCACGTAAAGAATCTGTAAGCTGCCATGGTTTCTGATGTCTAATTTATCGCGTAGTTTCTGCTGTAATGAACTTTTATTTCTTTTGTATGAGTTTGAGCACTTGTAAGTTGTGATGGTTTCTTGCTTGGGAACACACCCTTTTTATAGGTTTCAATGATGGATTGTTTTGGAGTTATTGAATTGGTCAAATTTTTCTAGAGCACGAAAATTTGTCAAGAAAGATTACCATGTCATGTTAACTAAGTCTTTAAGGTAGTTGATTTATAACTTATATTACTCTTTTGAACAGGTACTGGCTTGGTATTGCCTGCCAATTTCTGTGCTCACAAACAATCCTTAGGAGTATTTGCTGTTTTAAAGCTATGAAATCAGTGTAAGACGGCGTGAATTGGTAAAAATCAAATATATTTGAGACTCTTTCTCAAATTAATATTCAGTCCTCTTTTGATAATATGTTAATATTTTTTCACTAAGTAACACTTCGTATGTAACTATGACTTAGCCAAAAGTAGGGATTTTAAATTATTATTATAGAATTTATAGTCAACAAATTGTCTTTAGTGATGATGTATCTAACGTATTTTACCTCATAAGCTTGATCCATACTAGACTTATCATGTTAAGCTAGATATTATTTTGGTCTTAAGCCAAATAAAAACCGAACTCTCAAATCTCTAACTAAGGAACACTTCAACCATGAAGGATATGTAGTGTAATTTAATGTTAACATTGGGGAATTCCTTGTTCCTCAT